TCGTTTTCTTTTCTCCATTTTTGTATACGTTTACTTTCTGAAATTTCCTCAACTTTATCTTCTATACTTTTCATTTCTGTTATAACACTTTTTAATTGTAAGACCTCTTGTTTCTTTTTTTATTTATTTTTGAGAGAGAGAGAGAGCAAGCAAGAGAGAGAGCGCACATGCCTGCGAGAAAAGTGGGGGAAGGGCAGAAAGAGGAGGGCAGAGGATCCAAAGCCCAATGCGGGGATGGAACTCACAAACTGAAATCATGACCCGAGCCAAAGCTGGATGCTTAACTGATTGAGCCACTCAGATTTCCCCTCTTGTTTCTTCCTTCCTTCCTTCCTTCCTTCCTTCCTTCCTTCCTTCCTTCCTTCCCTTTCTTTCTTTCTTTCTTTCTTTCTTTCTTTCTTTCTTTCTTTCTTTATGTTTATTTATTATTGAAGGAGAGAGAAACCAAGTATGAGCAGGGGAGGGGCAGAGAGAGGGAGATACAGAATCTGAAGCAGGCTCCAGGCTCTGAGCTGTCAGCACAGAGCCCGACACAGGGCTCCAACTCAGTCCTGAGATCATGACTCGAGCCAAAGTCAAATGTTTTACCAGCTGAGCCACCCAGGCGCCCCTCTCTTGTTTGTTTCTTAAATGTTCCTTGTAACAGAATTCTTTTTTCCAATAATAGTCTTTTTCTTTAAGTTTTACATTCTGTGTGAGGAGCTTTGCTAAAATATTTGATAAATCTTGGTTGTCTGTTCTCAGGAGTCTACAAAGCTATTGGAAGCTCTGAGCCAGTGAATGAGGCTTATGGCCTTCAGGTTTCACTGGATGTGCTTTGATGATTTGTACTGGGGAAACTGTGCTGTATCTTTTTTTTCTTAGTGTTTATTCATTTCTGAGAGACAGAGAGAGACAGAGCAAGGTGAGCAGAGGAGGGTCAAAGAGAGAGGGAGACACATAATCTGAAGCAGGCTTGAGGCTCTGAGCTTTCAGCACAGAGCCTGATGCAGGGCTCAAACCACGAACCATGAGATCATGACCTTACCCAAAGTTGGACGCTCAACCAAACTACCCAGGTGTCCCAGCTGTCAGTATCTTTAGGGTAAAATTTCCTCTTGACATGGACAGGTGCAAAATAGAAATGTCCAGTGTCTTGCCTGAAGAGTAAAAGTGTGGGGAGTCAAATAGGGAAGAGGGCTTTTGGAGAAATGTCCTCTCAGGATTTAGTATTTGGGATGCATTTGGCCATTGACTCCTGTTTTTACTATGATACATAAGACCTCATCTTTTGCTCTAAAATTTGGTCTTTGACCCTAGTTCTTGACCCAGAATTCCTAAGTACCTTGAAATTTCTTGTGTGTGGCAGTAACTTTTGTTCTAATGAAGTGACTTTTGCTGGTTTCCTGGATTGGAATCAGTCACTAAAAAGGCCAAGCCGTAATTAGAAGGTTGGAGCTTTCTGGGTGCCTGGTTTATCGAACTCAAGGAGGGGGATGTGGGCACACTGGCTATAAATCAGTAGAAGCACAGTCAGTCAGAAGTACAGGTAACAACATGGGTTTTGAGACTGTCATCTGAAGTGCAGGGGAGGTGAGACAGTCTTGTGGGGCTGGGCTCTTGTGGGATCTGATGCTATTAACAGGGAGATAGTGTCAGAATTGAGTTCAACTGTAGGACCCCCAGATAATATTGTAGAGAATTACTTATATTGGAGAAGACCCCACACATCTGTTGTCAGAAGTGTTCTGAGTGTAGAAGTAGTGTAAATAAAGGAGAAATAGAATGCAAGAGTTTTTCCACACAGCTTGTAAATGTAATAATTTAATCAGGTAAGCTCATAAAGCATGTTTACTATAAGAAAATGTATTTGTTCTAATAAATTGTTCAGCAGAAATTGAATTGGTTCATATTAGCTGCAAATGATCTTACCAGCATTATGATAATTAGCCCACCAGCTGAAAATGAATTCACAAACTCTGTGTTCAGTTAACCCGTCAGCATATATACTACATGGAATCTGTTTCTCTACTATAGATTAAGAAAAAAATTTAAATGTTTCCCTTGATTCATCCAAGCAGAGTGTGTGTCCTCATCCTTCCACAAGGGAGGGAAAGGATTAGCAGGAAAAGAAAGGACGAGAAGGAGAAAGATGCTAAGAGAAGTAAACAGAGAAAAGGAGAGAAGATACATGGGACAGGAAAGCCATCTGACTGCCAGTCAGAATTGTAGTTTAGGGTCTCTGGTCTCAGATCAATCAGGTACCATCAGTCTGAACTCTGAAAATCCATAGAAAAGAAACCTATTTCTTCAGTCATTAGCAAATTAAAGACTTGTAATTTTGGTTAACCTGAAACAGCAGGTTATTAAGAGAGAAGTAGAGACTATCCTAGTCATATGGCTAGAGAATACCAAGCCAACTGGGAAGGAGAGAGATATAAAAGGTGGAAAAACATGATTTGGCTTCAGACTGATGGAAGCTACTAGAATTTATAATAACTATATAATTATTGGGGTGCTTAGGTGGCTCAGTCGGTTAAGCGTCCAACTTCGGCTCAGGTTCATGATCTTGCAGTTCGTGAGTTTGAGCCCTGTGACAGGCTGTGTGCTGACAGGAGCCTGGTGCCTGCTTCGGATTCTATGTCTCCCTCTCTCTTTCAAAAATATAATTGCTACATAATTATTGATTGGCTTGTATTTTCTTCCTCAAGAAACCATCATGGCTTTGATAACATGGGTGTATTATATTCAAGACTTCTATGTCTCCTAGTGAAGTGGGAGTGTAACAAAATAAATTGGGGAGACCTTGAATATTGGGGGAAACAGAAGACACCAGTTTACATTGCAAGTAAACTACAATGTAGTTGCGGTATTCCTACCTAACCTAAGTAAAAAGAGTCCTTCCATGTTTCAACCTGCCTCACTAGGATTCTACACTGGAGTTGGGAGCCAAGGCCCGCATAGTAACAGGGCATTATTTAACCTTGCTTTGTTCTCTAGGTCTATATTCCCCTCAAGAAGTTCAGGAAGTGGTGTCTCGTTGAAGGTAGATTATGGTCCTTTGCATCTCATAATCCAACCATACCTTTATCTAGAAATATAGGGCACCCTACTTTGACATGACATTTATGTAGAAACAATGAAATACTATGCAATCATCAAAATTATATGTAAGATATTTAATGACATGGGGGAAATGATACAGATATATTATAAAAGAAAAACTGGATTATTAAACTATGAGGAAAATGATGACATTTCAGAACTTTATAATTATATATACATAGCAGGAAAATATATAGTGGAATAACTGGCCATTAAGATTATGTTTACAGTAAAAATTAATAACATGAGAGTAATACTTTTAATGTTAAATGAAAAGAGGGAGACGCAATATTGCATAATGAAGTAATTGAATAAAGTACGATTTTGACTTTGTTGAAGGTGGATGTTGAAGAAACTAGAAGGGAATGCATAAGAACTTTGGCGGTGGTTTCCTCTGAATGTGGCAGTTATGGGTGATAGAGTACAGTAAAGAGAGTTATTTTCTTTATACTTCACTCTTTTTAATGTGCATGTGCTTATTTGTGATGATGTAAACCCTTCTTAAAGTCTTCAACTTTTAAAAAGTGATGCTTCAGGATAAATAAGCTGCTAAACATTTCAAGAATTTACCTAACTCTAATGTAATAGAGGGAAGAGATGAATCTGAAGGGTAACCATCTGTAAAAGGAATGAGTTATGTACCGTGTCCTCCAGAAGGTGGGACAGTGATCAACAGGCAATAGATACAGAGCAGATTGAATTCAATGTAAACAAGAGTTTTCCAGTAACTGGAACTGTCTCACAATGGAATGTTCTCAAGATGTGGAGTGTTAGAAGTGGTCAAGCAGAGGCTTAAGGGCTTTTGGCCCTGGGAGTAGCAGAAGGTGAGAGAGAAAGATGAGATGACAGTGGGCCTAGATGACCTCTAGGGCCCTTTTCACTGCTAACATTTTATCAAGATATCAGTCATTCTCTCATTTATGCAGCCTCTAAGATGGTCCCCAATGATCCCTGCCTACTGGTGTCCATGCCCTTGTGTAATTCCCTCTTACACTGAATGAGCTGATCTATGTACCCAATAGGATACTTTGGAAAAGATGGAGCATGACTTCAGAGGCTAGATCATAAAAGACATCATGGCTTCTTTCTTTCTCTCTCCTGAATTGCTGACTGTGGAGTAAGCCAGCTGCAAGCAGTCTAGAGAGGAGAGGACTCAGGCCAACAACCAGCAAAAACTGTCTAGCTATTTGAGTGCTTTGCCTTAGAAGCAGATCTTCCAGCCCCAGTCAAGCCTTCAGATGACTGTATCCCTTGCCAACATCTTTACTCAACCTCTTGAGTCAAGAGACCCTAAGTCAATACGACCCAGCTAAGCCATGCCTGAATTCCTTACCCAAAAAGTCACTAAATCTTGTAGTAATTTGTTATGTAGCATTAGATAATGGTACAACACATTTTTACCTGATTTTTTCCACAACAGATTTGAAGTAATATTCTTTGATTCAGTCATTAAAAGCTGAGCTATTGCTGATAAGTATTCTTAAGGAGGCAAAATTCATGGCTATTACAGATTCACAACAGCAGCCTATTCATTTAATAGTACAGTTGCGCTCAACACAGTTTGATGTCTTAACATGTTCTGTAAGAACAACATCTTGGTCTTAAAGTGATTCATCTTATTTCTTCTCTGCTAGAAAAAAGTAATGTGCTCTTCATTCTCCTACAGACTTGGTATCTGTAAATAGTTGTAGCTATAATTGTGTCTTCTACATTTCTTAGCTTCCACCCATCAATATGCTCAGAAAAGAGGTATGCTACAAATTGCAATATAGCATTTTTAAAAGGCTGTTTTCAGCATTTTAGCACCTAACAGACAAATTTTTATCTATAAAAATAAGCCAAGGGCAACGACAAAAACCCTATTAACTGTTATTTTGAATAGATGACTAAATCATCTCTGTGAGGTAAACACACACACACACTCAACCCTATTTTTTAATTCCTAAAAGTTATGAGATATTCTGGGTAAGCTAGATTATCAGAAAATACCACAAATATATTTGGATGTTGTGTATCATCTGTGACAGAGTCAAACAGATCTATGGGGTTGTGAGGGTCCTTTGATGGAGGCGTAACTAACCCTTCATTTCCAGTTGTGTAGGCTCCTGTAAGTACTCGTACCACATAAATATACTTTCTCCCATTGCTGTCTGGTCTGGAATATTTATCATTAGCAGAATAACGGGCATCAACAGCAAAATAAGTTCCTTTTCCATAGGCTGCACCTGTAAAGAGAAACACAAAAGCCTTCCTGAGAACATAAAATCATCACAGTATGCAGAACCATGCCCAAACCTGACACAAAAAATTTTTAATATAGTTCTTGCCCACCAAAACCACTTTCCATCATTTCTAGAATTTACTCCATCTATCCTCAGAAGGTTGCCAGTCTCCTTTCTGATGAAACACAACGAGCTTTATCCTGGTGATGACAATATAGCTGCCATATATGGTTCTACACTGCTTGGGTGTGAATAGTCAACACTAGAACTATCATTCACCTCATTCTGATCAGCCAGATTACACACTTCCTTACCATTCTTCCCAGCATAACTGCGATTAAAACCATGCTCATTGACATATGTCACTGAGTCTGCATCTGTCCCATGAAATAGGACTTTCTCATTATCTGAATGGCCATTCTTGATGTCCATTTGATTTTTCTTTAGCCGGTAGCTCTCCCAGAGACATACATTCTGTATTCTCTCTATCTGCAAGTGACAAAAAAGCAAAACATTTTGAAAATGACTTTATAGCTCAGTATGTTGTGTTGGTTGTGGATTTTTAAAAAAGCAATTTGGAGAAGAAGAGAAGGAGGAGGACTGGAGGAAGGGAAGGAGAAGTAAAAGAAAAAGCAAATGCAAATAAACAGCAAATTCAGAGAGTAGATAGCTTTCCACTTTTAGAAAAAGGCTAGATTGAGTCCTTATACTTTGTAATAGTGCTGATTATTATCTATTTTATATAACAGAACTTATTACATATAAAAATGTTTACCTGGAATTCCTGGAGATTCACTAACATTCAAATTCCTACTCAAAAATTTGTCATCATTGAGTAATGATTTCCTTAACTCCCTCTGATCTCTAAACCCATTCCACTGGCTTCTTCTAGTAACAGTTCTCTTGTATTGCTCTAATTATGGTCACAAATCACCTCATAACGGCCTAACTTAATGACTACTTCTTTCTAGGCCCTCAATAACATTTCAAACTATAAATCATCCCCAACTTGAAATGTTATCTTTCTTGAACTTTTTTTCAAAATATCATTCTCTACAGTTCTATTTCCTTCTTGAAAATGAATTTAACATACATTCAATAACCATCTATTGAACATCTACTACAAATCAAGCTCTGTGTTGGATCTCTGCCCTCAAGAAACTCAGTCTAGTGGGGGAGAAACACAAGAAAAAAAATCACTACATCTCAGATTGATAAGGGGTGGGCTAGGGGAACACACACAGAGTATGACAGCATAAGAAAAAGATCCAGATGGGGCACGTGGGTAGCTCAGTCAGTTAAGCGTCCGACTTCGGCTCAGGTCATGATCTTGCAGTTCATGGGTTCGAGCCCTCCATCGGGCTCTGTACTGACAGCCAGCTCAGAGCCTGGAGACTGTTTCAGATTCTGTATCTCCCTCTCTCTCTGACCCTCCCCTGCTCACGTTGTCTCTCTCCCTCTCTCAGAAATAAAAAATAAATAAAACATTTAAAAAAAAAAAAAAAGGGAAAAGGATCCAGACAATCTAGATCCAGGGAGAAAGGAAGAAATCTGAAAGAATGATGTTCTAAAAACACGAGAGTTCAAGAAGAATTGAGTGCACCTCCATGTTCACTGCATCATTATTCATAATAGTCAAGATACAGGATCCACCTAAGTGTCCATTGATAGATGAATGGATAATGAAGAATATATATATATAATGGATATATAGATGAATGGATAATGGAATATATATATTCCATAATAGTATTCCATTATATATATAATTCCATTATATATTTATATATGAATATAATTCTATTATATATGTATATTCTATATATAGGAATATACCACACACACACACACACACACACACACACACACACATATAATGGAATACTATTCAGCCATTATAAAGCATGAAATCTTGCCATAGATTTTGAGGGTATTATGCCAAGTGAAATAAGTCAGACAGAGAAAGACAAATACCATATGTTTTCACATAAATGTGGAATCTAAAACAAATAAAACCCACAAAAAAACAAACTAAAGCTCAGAGATACAGAAAATAGATTGATGGTTGTCAGAGGCAGGGGGTGGGGCGTCGACAACATGAGTGAAGAGGACCAAAAGGTAGAAACTTCTAGCTATAAAAGAAATAAGACATGGGGATGAAATGCACAGAATGGTGACTATTTAATTATACTGAATTGCATATTTGAAAGTTGCTGAGTATATCTAAAAAGTTCTCATGACAAGAAAAAAGTTTTTTCATAACTATGTATGATGACGGATGTTAACTAGACTTATCACAGTAGTCATTTTGCAATATATACAAATATCAGATCATGTTAGATACCTGAAACTAATATATATCAGTTATTCAGTAAATAATAATTTCTGTAAATTTCAGTAAATAATTAAAAACAAATACGTAAATAAGAAGAATGAAGTGGTAACTTATAGCAGATGTTGAGGGGAAGCCAAGTAATAAAAGGAGGAAAAGTTGTTTTGAGAGAGATGAAGACCTCAAGAAGAGTGTTGAAGTTTTGCAATGGAGAATGTGTGAGGGAGTTGACTGGAGGAAGCAATAAAGGATTTCAGGCACCCTGATGGTCCAGCAGAGGTTGGGGACCATGAATTAAAATGGTTTTTATCTAGGGGCAGCAGGAGAGAAAGTAGGCTATGGAATTAATCCAAAGTTGAGGTGTTTCAAAATGGATATGATAGAAGGATAAGAGCCAAGAAAGTTGAAGATATTGGGTAAACACAATCGAAAGAGGTTCTTGTACTCTCAACAACTTGTAGCATCAATGAAGCATCTCCTCCTTTAAATTGTCTCCTTTATGCAGGACTCTCTCTCTTTTGATTCTTTCATAGGAATTAAGTTCATTTAGTAGGTATTGTGTCCCACAATATGTTAGGCATCATGCTACGTACTAGGGATGCAACTCCTACCGTAAGAAGCCCACTGTCTAATGGGGCAGTCAGGCATGTGAAAGCTTATGAAGGCACAATTTCTTAAGTGCCATGATATGGTTAAGTACACAGTTTTATGGAAGTAGCAGCTAGATTTTTAAGTGACTAGGATGGAAAATATCAATTTCCACACCCTATTCTGATATACATGGTATGATAATGACCTTCTAATAAATTCCTGCACTGGCTAAAATTTTTATGCAGCATAGTGGATGTTGTAGGAATCTCAGAACATCTATTCCACTTCATCCCCATTGTACAGCAATTCCTGTTGGGGTGGAGTTGGCCTCACCTACAGTTCTCAGGTGGAGCCTAATTGGTTTAAACCAGTCTGGATAATCTCATGATGGGATCATACAATGATGGCATCTGATAGTGGAGGTACAAGTCTATCAGCATATAGCACTCTCCAAACACAGACTGGTTGGAGTGATACATTCAACACAAAGCCTGGGACTCTAATCCAGTGGTTGTATTCCTTCCATGGTATATGAATGAAGGACGTAAAAACCCCGATTGCCACCAGCAGCCATTCCACAATTATGAAGGGAGTCCAGCCTTCAGATGAAGATGACAAAGCCAAAGAAACTGGATCTATGACATCACTGAGTCACTGGATTCATCTGTTCCAAAGACCATCCTACTTCTGGACTTTGCATTAATTTCAAATATGTTTCTTCATGTTTATTCAGTTTGAATGAGTTTGTTTGAAAATTGTAGGTAAAAGTATCCAAACATATATATGTCACTTTTGAGAATCTCCTTCATTACTTCTAATGAATGAACCATGAGATTTAAAGTCTAGGAGCTTGAGTGAGTCAAATTAAAATAAATCTAGTAAGCTATAAAGAAAGGAAGAGTGTTATTTTAAAAAGATGGTTTTCATATTAGTTCTTCAATATTTAAAAGAAGTAATTTTTTAGCAGAATATTACCTTCTCTATTTCGTATAAACGACAGACCTCAGAGACCTTGTCCTTTACAGTGTCATATTCTGACTGTCCAGGTTGTAGCTCAACCACACAGGACCGCTGCTGATTCATGTCAGTCCAGTGTTCAGGAATATTATCTGGAAAGTCAACATTTGGTGAAAACACAATATTCATTTTGAGGGGCCACTGAAAATCACAGCACTTCCTGTGCTCTTGTTTCTCATCCATCTAATCCTGGTCTTTGAGAAAAAAAAAAAAAAACCCAAAATGCTACACATTTCATAATTGTTTCTTTTATCATCCTCAATTTGCCAAACACAGCTGAAGTGAATTGTTCTGACACTAACATGACATATATTAAGGCCTAGCTAAAATGTTTAGGTAAACTTAGGTTCACTATAGCTTGAAATTATAATTTCCTTAGAGAGCACTACGGAATTAATTCCATAAGAAACTGATATACAAATATGAAAGCTGATTTATTGATGTCTTCATGTTTATCAGTTTTATTTAGCATGATTCTTTATTATTTTTCTTTTGAAACATGTACCTTGCCAAAGCTATTTAAAACACATTGTTCTGTGCTCTGTCTTCTACACTAAATAGAGAAAGTGCTATATAAATAGTGAAAATACTAAGTGAAAGCTTTCATATAAGGTGATGATGCTCAAAATTTTCCTTTGCTTTCCAATGGCTTCCAGAACCTTCTAACACATTGAGGCTACACATCAAGTTGCTGAGATGGCTTGACTAATAGAAATATGGACAGACTGTATTAGAGAAGAAAATGCCAGAAAATGGCACAAAACCACAGATAAAGGCCAAAGGATTTCTCCTTATAAACAAAGCCAGAATTTGCTCATCTTTAGTGAAAGATTATAATATACAGTCCTGGGAGAAGGATCCAGGAACTCTCTTTCTGTTTAGCGAGTCCATCCAGGGAATGAAGTTCTGATGACGAAAGGAAGCATCAAACCCTAATCTAGAAGCGTTTTTCAAATTCCATTTTAAACACTTAAACAGCAGGGTGTGTTGTTTCTGCAAATTAAATTCTTTCCTTTCTCCCACTGTCCACTCCCTCCAGATCTTTTGGCCTAATCATGTCTAGTCCTAGGGCTTAGAGTCCTCTTGGACCTGCTGCATTCTTTTTTCTGAATACAGCAAGCAAGCCTGGGAAGTAAAGAAAGTTTTTCTTTGGGATCTCTCTTCCTTTCATGTCACAGGGTTGCAGAGCAGAAAATACCAGGGCTTGGAATCAGAAGACCTGATCAACCTCAATCTGTGACCAGCCATAAGTAATACCACTTCTGAGTGAATTTTCATGTTCTCTTTTGCAAAATGGAACTGATAAAATCTGATGTATTTATAACCTCATGGGATTGTTTCAAGTTTAAAATATAATGAAGGGTGTGAAAGCATTTTAGGGAATGCCATGTCCTTTATTAACATAGTTATTATTCTTAAAAAACATGATTAAGCTTGGTCTTTCTTACATCCCAGAGGCATATTAAAGAAGGAGTAAAGTTTAAAGACAAGGGTATTTTCTTGAGAGCTACAATTTAAACCACACACTTAAACCACACCAAACTGTGCTGCTTACTCTGCGGACAAAAGGTGACTCTGGCTGAACAATTTAAAGATGAGAGACCCTAGTCCCAGGAAAGCTGAAAATTCACACATCCAATGTTACATGGAAGGCTGCCATCCAAAGAAGGAATAGAACTGTGTTCTATTGACTTGCAGCCCAGTACTTCATGGGAACTAACACAATGGCTGCCTTTCTTGAAGTGTTTACTACGTACCAGGGACTTTCCCAAGTGCTTTTCCTATAAATCTCTTTTAAAAGATAAATGTCACTCTACTTCTCCACTCCCGATGTTTGGGATAAATGCCCCCCTGCACCTCTCCTTGTGCACCCTGCCACTCTTTCTTCTCCACAGGTAAAGGGGGATTACACACCAACAATCCTGGCTCTGCCTTCAGCCTTCACTCTTTCCACCTTCACGGTCTCCATGGACAATCCAAAAAATCCACACTCAATGGCTTCCACTCCCACCTACATCCACGACTCTCAAGTCCATGTCTCTAGTTTCTGATATTCAGCTGGTGCTTAGTAAAAGCTCTCTGAATCAATGAATAGCTTTAATGTGCATTGGAAAAGCAAGTTTGGACCATCTGCTCAAATGAAACTCTTAAGTTGTCCTCTTTAAGTTCTTTTTTAAAGAAGGCCACATGATAAATGCTTACTAAAATTCAAGTTTGTGTCTGCCAACAAACTTCCTCTTATCTGACATTTTATCTGCTTATTACTTTCATCTAACAACAAAGATTATGTAAGGCAGTTTTGTCGTTTGTTTTTGCCCCCAGTGCCATAGGGTCTCTGGTCTGCTCATTTTAGTTACCTTTTGTTTGTTTATCTCTTTAACTTTCCTGTCTATTTTTTAAATTTCATAAGTCAATTCAAATTCTCCGTGTAAGCAGGGAATGGATGAGCCAGTTTCACTTAATTTTTTACTTTACTGATAATGACTTATGCTCTTGTATTTAAATACAAATTTTCCTCTACAAAGACCAAAGTGGGGGGAATGTGAATTTATATATCCCTAGATACTTTAGTAGGTATGTATAATTTTTAACTATCCAGCACCCTTTTCCCCTTCTGGTAAAAGCATCCTGAATTTCCTTTGGTGAACAACCTTTCCCCATTGCTTCAGAGAGTGATCCCCTTCAGTTCAAGTATAGAGCATATCACTCTGTATTGCTAATTAGTTTAATTCCAATTCTCTAGCGGCAATCATGACCAAAGCTGATTCAATCAGAAGTAATTTCAGCTTTATGTGAATACCTCTGTTCCCAGGCATCATGTTCCTGATGATAAGTATATATACTTTCACAGGATATACTTTTTCCTATTGGACCTGACCATGTAGGGATGTGAGCTTGAAGCTGCTGGCGGCCATCTTTCACCATGTGAAACCTGAGCATAAAGACAACACAGCTGACAAGAGAGTGAGAGATGAAGAAAGCCAGGGTCTAGATTATATAATATGAGCACCTGGATCAAATTGGACCTGAAGCCAAGTATATGTCAACTTTATAGTCATGTGAGTCAATTAATTCCATTTTTTGCATAAGCCAGTTTAAATTGGATTTTCTATTATTTGTTATTGCAAAGTATTAACAGATCCAACTATTATTTTCATTTCATTTCTATTTAGTGTGTGTGTGTGTGTGTGTGTGTGTGTGTGTGTGTGTAATTCTTACATGTGCTGTATGTGGAGGCACATTGAGAATAGATGTCAGAAAATAGGTGTAAGGGTGTCTGGGCGGCTCAGTAGCTTATGTGTCCAACTTTGTCTCAAGTCATGATCTCACCGTCCCCAGTTCCCAAGTGTGAGTCCCGCATTGGGTTCTGTGCTGACCACCCAGAGACTGCAGCCTGTTTCAGATTCCGTGTCTTTCTCTCTGTCTCTGCCCCTTCCCTGCTGTTAATAAACATTGAAAAAAAATTTTTAAAGAGAGAAAATAGCTGTAGAGAGAACTGAAATTCCTACTGGCAGTGTCAGACAACAATTTCCAGTTTAGGGAGGTTCCTGATGACAGGTACACTTCATCACTAGTAAAACTCACAGTGCTCTATGAGTGAGTGCTCAGAATGAACAAAAACAGTAATCGCAAGAGGAGGCTGTTTTTCTAGGCAGTCACAGAAGCCACAAAAGGGGGGACAGAGGAGCAGGTCAGCACAGATGCTTAAACATAATGCATAAACACACACCTTACAGAGAAGCAACTGGGAATCTGCTGGCTCAGGAAGTAGCACAACCAAATGACCTGGACCACTCCCTTCTTCCATCTGCTTCTATTCCCAGGCTAACTTGTCTAGCGGTGGAGAATCAATAAACCAGTATTGGTCCACTGGTTCACAGCTACAAGGGGGCACTGAGGGTCAATACTAATCAATAAGTATATATTGAGATAACTGCCTAGGATTTTCAAAGCTTATCTTCCTCTTTCTGGTTTCTCACTTCTATCTTCTTTCTGGTCCTTCCTTTGTTATTCCTGTTTCCCAGGACTGGTTTTGCCCCTTGGAAGAATAATCAGCTGACAGGAGGCTGTGTTCCATAGTTCTTGCACTTTTCCCACATATTATAGGAGGCTCTCTGTAAAATCCTAAAACTGATAAAACACTGAGCCTTAATATCTAAACATTTGCTAAGTGATATGAGAGAACCACATGATCTTTTTAAAGAAGAACATCTTACTTGCAGTCTCAGAGAACGCGGACTGAAAGACGGATGACACGAAAATGTCTCTCTTTTTTAAGTTGTCATAGAATACATTTAGCAGTTCAGGCAGAAAGATGACAATTTTAACTTTTTTTAATGATGGGGTGGAATGTTTCCGTACGAAGTCTATAACAGCACTGATCATGTCATCAGCAACTTTGACTGGGTTTTTCCTGGCGTTTCCTGAAAAAAAATTTTTTTCTTAGTGACAAAAAGAAGCCTCAACTAGTGTTAGTCGAGTGATGGCAAATGCAGTTTTTGGTGTTGAGAAAGAAGAAAGCAGCCCCCAACAGCCAGAAACAGATCTGACACTCACAGCTGCGTATTGGTATCTCTGGCTGAACTCAAACAACTTCACAGAACATCATCGAATGTAACCACTCTGTGGCTGTGATGAGTTAAGTCAAAAATCACCACTGAATAATCATGTCTGACCACAGATAAAGACATGAACACCAGTTAAACCACAAAAATAGCCAAACAATCCCCATCTTGACTAGTATGAGCAAGCACTGCCTCATTTATAATCACGGCTTTAGCCACACCATTCTCCCATTCCAGGTAAGATACCCAGTCATAGAACTATGTCTGTTTCCTTCAAGTGTCCAACCTAGAGCAAATCCCCACTTACCTGAGACTGCCAGAAAGTCACCCAATACAAGCTCATATCCGTTAAGGATTCCTAAACAACCCCTTGGTGAGATGCTGCATGGTTATTTATAGTGTGTGCTCCTGGTGGTCTCTGACTGAAGGGGTTTGGCCGCACAGAGAAAGGAGCAGGTGATTGGGGTGCAGAAGATCTAGGTATGTGTTCTGGCTCTCTACTGATGAGCTGTGTGATCTTGAGGAAGTCATTTGATCCCTCTTATTATTAGTTTGCTAGGGATGCCCTAACAAATTGTCATGACTGGTGGCTTAAGCAACAGAAATTTATTTTCTCACAATTCTGGAGGCTAGAAGTCTGGTGTCAAAGTACTGGAAAGATATCAAGGTGCTGGAAAGATTGGTTTCTTCTGAGGCTTCTCTCTGAGGCTTGTAGATGGTGGTCTCCTCCCTGTATCTTCACATGGTCCTCCCTCTGTACCTATGGGTGCTCTAATTTCCTAGCAAGGACACCAGTCATATTGGATGAGGGAGAACCCTAATGACTTCACTTTAACTAAATTACCTCTTGAAAGACCCTTTCTCCAAATACAGTCACATTCTGAGGTACAAGGATTAGGGTTTCAACATATGAATTTGGCAGGGGGACACAACTCAGCCCAGAACACCTTCAAACTTCAGTTTCCTCATCCATAAAATTGGGATGATAATAGAAGGTAATAGCTAAAAGAGATAAGAATGTGGCAGCTAAGAATATAGTAATTAAGAGCATAATGGGAATAAAAACCACATAACATTAAAAAAATGTAATGGTTGCAATGTACAGACCAGGTTTCCTGAGATTGAACATTGCTTACTAGCTCTATGACCTTGTGCTTTAATACTTCAAGTTCTTATCTGCAGAACTTATCAAGTTCTTACGAGTCAGGGGTGGGTCCAAGTTTTGTAGGATTTGAAACTTATACTATACATCTCAGAAAAAAAAAAAAAGACAAAATAAAAATATAAAATTATGCATACAAGTGAATATTTAGACTAAAATAAGAAATCACAATAAAGTATAAATTTTAAAATGTTGAAAATCATATTCCCAAGTCAGCTTCCTTAACTACATTCCAAAAATGCTTGTAGCCTCCCCAATGCCCGGAACCAGAAAAAGTCTGAGGAGTCAAAGCTGGAAGAAATGGTGATCCTAACCCACAGTGGTTAAGATGCCTTACTTTTTTTTTTTTTTAATTTTTTTTTTATTTATTTTTAGGAGAGAGAGAGAGAGAGACAGCGTGAGCAGGGGAGGGTCAGAGAGAGAGGGAGTCACAGACTGAAACAGGCTCCAGGCTCTGAACTGGAAGTCAGCACAGAGCCCGGCGCGGGGCTCAAACCCATGAACCGCGAGATCATGACCTAAGCGAAAGTCGGACGCTTAACCAACCAACTAAGCCACCCAGGCGCCCCAAGATGCCTTACTTTTGAAGCTTTACTAAGTCATATAACCATGTGACAGGTTTATTAGGGCCCTCCCAGTCCATTTTAAAAAGCCGGTGGGGGGTGGGGGTGGGCGCCTGGGTCGGTTAAGCGTCCGACTTTCGCTTAGGTCATGATCTCGCGGTGTGGGTTCGAGCCCCGCGTCGGGCTCTGTGCTGACTGCCAGCTCTGAGCCTGGAGCCTGTTTCAGAGTCTGTGACTCCCTCTCTGACCCTCCCCTGCTCACGCTGTCTCTCTCTCTCTCCTAGAAATAAATAAAACATTAAAAAAAAATTTTTTTTAATAAATAAATAAAAAGCCTGTAGGGGCGCCTGGGTGGCTCAGTCAGTTAAGCATCCAACTTCAGCGTGAGTTTGAGCCCCATGTTGGGCTCTGTGCTGACAGCTCAGAGCCTGGAGCCTGTTTTAGATTCTGTGTGTGTGTCTCTCTCTCCTTGCCCCTCCCCCACTCATGCTTGGTCGTTCTCTGTATCTCAAAAATATATAAACGTTAAAAAAATTTTTTTTAAATAAAAAATAAATAAAAAGCCTATGGGGGAGGGGGCGGGGGAGGGCTCCTGGCTGGCTCAGTCAGTTGAGCATCCGACTTCAGCTCAGGTCATGATCTCACGGTTTGTGTGTTCAGGCCCCGCGTTGGCCTCTGTGCTGACAGCTAGCTCAGAGCCTGCAGCCTATTTCGGATTCTGTGTCTCCTTCTCTCTCTGACCCTCCCCTGCTCACGCTATATCTCTCTCTCTCTCTCTCAGAAATAAATAAAACACTTAAAAGCCTATGTAACTGGGCATGAATGAATCAAGGGGTGGGTCATTAGCGTCCCCTTCAACTGAGAGCAAATTACTGTATGTTATGATGGAGATGGGGTGGAAAGTGTTCCTTAAAACTGAGCAGGACAGACCTGAACTTGTTGCTTAAAGGATGGCAACTACATCCTACTCATTGATTTTATTCCTAGGGACTTGCAGTGGGCCTGGGAAACAGCATTTCAATCTAGTGAATGTGACAATGAGGAGCCAGTGGGAGATGCTGCCATAAGCCCAAAGGGGGAGGGATTAAGCTTTTGGAAACGAAAAGGAAGGCTGAAAAGGAACAACCCCTGGAAGAAAGATTTAGTAGAATGTACTGACTGTGCGGTCTGGGGGCACAAAGAAGCAGGGTGCAGGACAGCTGGGAGCATCATGGCACCCCTGAAGGAGGAAACCAGGAAATGAGGCAACTAAAGAAAAGTGGCTGTTTGCAAGGGATGATGATGATGATGATGAATTTGGATTCTGATGTAAAGTTTCTGGTAACAGAAATCTCCAAGAGGAAGTCTGGGAGAAGGAGAAATGCTGATCTGAGAGTAAGGGCAGAAAAGCCAACTGACATAATATGAGAAATTATCATCCAAAGGAAAAAAAAAAGTGAACAGTAAGAAAACCATGAAGTTAAAGACCAAACATGGAAAGATATTTAGGGACTATACAATTAATAATATAGATGTATGAGGGGTGCCTGGGCGGCTCAGTCAGTTGAGTGTCCGACTTCAGCTCAGGTCATGATCTCACAGTTCGTGGGTTTGAGCCCCGTGTCAGGCTCTGCTGACAGCTCAGAGCCTGGAGTCTGTCTTCGGATTCTGTGTCTTCCTCTCTCTCTCTGACCCTCCCCTGTTCATGCTGTCTCTATATGTCTCTCAAAAATAAATAAAACATTAAAAAATTAAAAAAAATAAAGATATATGAAAGAGGCATTAGGCCCCAAAGATGGCCCTCGGGGTCTGAAAGTTTGCCTACTCTGGTTTAACATTCCTGTTGCTGCCTGGACTCAACACGGAGTTCACGAACAGTAAGTCTAAATCTAAAGGAATCTGGATTATTCAGAATCTCTGAGTGACGAGAGGCTACAAACCTGTTCCGATGGCTGGAAGGGAAACGGAAGTGTAGTTTCTCTGCTCACACTCTTCTAGAACAGTGGAAACTGTATTTCTGACATCATTTTCCCCAGGAACATGAATTATTATCTTGCATTTTAAGTGCCCGCCTTGTGTAATAATAAAATTTCTGTGAGCCTGTGCAGCTGGAACAAAAGAAGGAAGGAAACACATAGCACGTTACTTACAGAAAGCCACACGATGATCACTGAGAAATGAAAGCAGCTGACGTCAGAAAAGCTGTGACAATTCCTAACCAAGTTCAGCCTTCCTTCATCTAGCTGGCTTCCCTCACTGGGACTGTGACAGGTTCATTTTCTTTACAATCAGGATTCTCCACCCCCCCCCTCCCCCCCCGCCACCCTGTTTTATTATTGTTTTTATTTTAATTTTTTCATTTTTATCCAAGTTAGTTAACATTTAGTGCAATAATGATTTCCCAAAAAGATTCCAGTGATTCATCCCCTGTGTATTATACCCAGTGCTCATCCCAAAAGTGTCCTCCCTAATGCCCCTTACCCATTTAGCCCATCCCCCTCCCACAACCCTTCCAACAACCCTGTTTGTTCTCTGTATTTAAGAGTCTCTTATGTTTTGTCCTCCTCCATGTTTTTATATTATTTTTGCTTCCCTTTCCCTATGTTCATCTGTTTTGTAACTTAAATTCCACATGAGTGAAGTCATATAATATTTGTCTCTCTCTGACTAATTTCGCTTAGCATAATACCCTCTAGTTCCATCCACGTTATTGCAAATGGCAAGATTTCATTCTTTTTGATTGCTGAGTAATACTCCATTGTGTGTGTGTGTGTGTGTGTGTATACCACATCTTCTTTATCTATTCATCTGTCGATGGACATTTTGAGCTCTTTCCATACTTTGGCTATTGTCAATAGTGCTGCTATAAACATTGGGGTGTATGTGTCTCTTCAAAACAGCACACCCGTATTTTTTGGATAAATACCTAGTAGTGCAATTGCTGGGTTGTAGAGGAGTTCTCGTTTTAATTTTTTGAGGAACCTCCATACTGTTTTCCAGAGTGGCTGCACCAGTTTGCATTCCTACCAACAGTGCAAAAGAGTTCCCCTTTCCCCGCATCCTCACCATCTGTTTGTGGCCTGAGTTGTTAATTTTAGCAATCCTGACTGGTGTACAGTATTCTTTTACCCAACAACTATATTGTTGAATATTTGGGGTGCTTTTTGAAAGCATTGTACCTGCATTAATCCACTCAGTCCTCAAAACAAGGCTATCAGGTAGGCACTGTTCTCTCCTTTCACAGATTAAACAGAGGCTCAGAGAGGTAAGTTCTCCGAAGCAAAGGTTGCCTGGGATTTGAACCTAAGCAGTCAGTGTCCAGAGCTCTTAACCCCCACGCTGATGTCCAGAAGAGCAATTTATGTGCTCTTTTAGCTAGATTAATTTTTCTAGGAGACAAAAGCAATGTATTCAGTGATGTGGAGGTGTGAATGGATGAAAATTCCTCCCTCTCTCTGGACCCTGAGACCTCTTGAACACATGGAAATCACCAGAGCTTGTTTAAAGGCACTGAGTAAGTACCTGAGGAAGGCTGGCCTCTGGCAAACACAGGAGGAGGAGAGTGGGCCCCTGCCCAGGCACTCCTGGCTGCCCCTCGGGTGTCCCAACCCATGCTATCCCATCCCAACCAGCCTCAGTTTCCAGCTTGTCCAATACCCCGTTTCATTCTCTGCTTCTGCCTTCCAAGGCACAGCTAGCTTTTCCAGGCCACAAATTCCTGCTAACAGCCTCATGTTAGTGATCAGTACTCCCTTCCTCTGACCCCTCTCCAGGAATATATTCATTCCAGGGAAAACGTCTTAATCAGAGGAGAGCTACCAAGATAGGAGTTTCAGGCACAACAGCAAGTCAGTTGTGGGACTGTCAAACATGGGACCTTGGGACTTCAAGGTCATGTGGGACCTTTAAATCACAGTCAAGCTAACAGTCTCCTCAGCAGGGCATGAGTCCTGGCTTCAGAGGATAAATAGTTTAGCATCACTCTTACAGGTTCCCCACTGTGATATAATAAAAAACAAATATTTGATCTTTGTTGCTGGTTCTTGGCTCAGAGTTCCTAGAACACTTTGGAACCTCCTGAGTGATAAGTCTTTTGTAAGAGAATGGGATCACCCTTGAGGGTCGTGGGGCTAGACAGCTTCAGAATGGGGGCTCATCTCCAGAAAAACAAAGCCAGAGCCAGAGCCCCACCCTCTGACCTCTGCGGACCTCCAACACAAATCCAATGATTTAGTTAATCATGCCTACATAATGAAACCTCCATAAAAACTACTAAAAAAAAACCAGGATCTAGGAATTTCCGGGTTGGTAAACATGTCTCGGTGCTGAGAGGGTGGTGCATCTGGAGAGGGCATGGAAGCTCTATGTCCCTTCCCATATACCTTCCCCTTTGCATCTCTTCCATTTGGCTGTTCTTGAGTTATATCCTTTAAAATAAACTGGTAAATGTAAAAAAAAAAAAAAAAAGTGTTTTCTTGAGTCCTATGAATCATTCTAGGGTACTGTCAAACCTGAGAAGGGGTTTTTGTGAATGCCTGAATTTATAGGGGATGAATAAGAAGTACACATGGTTCCTGGGACTTGTGACTGGTGTTGAAGTTGGGGGAGTCTTGTGGGACTGAGCCCTTTACCTTGCGGGATCCAGTGCTAACTTTACAGGTACATAGTGTTACAATTGGAGAATGACTGGTGTCGGAAAACACCTCAGACCCACCCCGGCTCCACATTCCTTCATAGCAGGTAGATGTTGGGCTATAAGAAGTAGAACAAGGTTGGGAAAAGTGAAAGATAACTTATACAGGACTTTGCAGTTTACATAACTTTTCACATTGATTGTCCTGATCCTCACAACCACATGTAAGATAGCCATTACCATACTCTGTAAGAGCCATCTTACAGATGAGGGAAACAAAGCTCTTACAGATTAGATGTAAGACGGCACACCCAAGAGCCTTCAGTAAATGGTTGAGCCTGGACTTTTGGGACCCAGTTCTTTTTTTTTTTTTTTTTTTTAATTTTAATGTTTATTATTTATTTTTAAGAGAGACAGACAGAGCACAAGCAGATGAGGGGCAGAGAGAGAGGGAGACACAGAATCCAAAGCAGGCTCCAGGCTCTGAGCTGTCAGCACAGAGCCCGACTCAGGGCTTGAACTCATGAGCTGTGAGAGCGTGACCTGAGCCGAAGTTGGACGTTTAACCGGCTGAGCCACCCAGGTGCCCCAGGACCAGTTATTTTAAATAGTCATGAAGAGACAGGTGGGATAGTGGGAGAAAGGACCTTTCCTCACAGCCACAACGTTATACCATCTGTATCTGCTCTCCCAGGGAATGGACCTTTTTCCAAAGCACTCAACACTTACTCCTCCCATAGGTCCTATTAGAGTACTCTCAGCTCTTTAATTTGCAGTAGATTGTAGCCAGAAGTAACATGTGACCATACCTAGTACAGCACATTCATTTTCCACAGCTCGTCCAGCACCTTCCAAAATTGCTTTTGACACCCCTAAATAAGACATGTTAGTGATAAAAAGCATTAGTTAAAATCCAATACACGACTGTAGCTGTTGTACATTAGACTTTTGTTCAGCTCACTCCTTTGTGCATAATTCATTGATATCTCCCACAGAAAAACCCAACTTTTCTATAGCAACCTCCATTCAGCAGCTGATCTGTAAACAATCTGAACTACAGTGTGATGGCACTGCCCAATAGCTGACAGTCCCCTGTGTCTGCAGTTTTATAGACTCTATTTGTACAGGGATAGTTTTGCAGTTATGTGAAATTATTTGCATTCTACTCTTACTATCTTATAAAACTGAAAAATGAAAACATGAAAGTTCTGATGCTAATGAGAAGCATGGATCTCAAAACTGAAATACAATTGAGCATGTTGCATAAATCTTTGGTTTTAGTGTTGTTTTGTTCAGCTTTGTTTTTCACAGGTAGGCAGATTCAGTCCAGTGAATCTTCCAATCAAGGCTGTGGCTTCACCGCTTTGGTAACCACTAATAACAGCTAGGTTGAGTGATTAGAAACACAACTATGCATTCTGACAGACTATTAGAGTTGCCTCCACCACTTACTGGTTAATATGTGACTAGTCACTTTCTAACTTGTTGTACAGAGGCTAACACAGTACTTCCACACAGGGTCATTTGAACATTAAAAGAGACAATGCATATAAAATGCTTGGAATGGAATCTGGCACACAAAAAGCACTGAATAATTATTAGTTATTTTATCTTTTTAATGATCTATCTTCTATCTATCAACTATCTATCTATCTTCTATCTATCTATCTATCTATCTATCTATCTATCTATCTCTCCTTGATTATGTAGGTGCATTATGAATTGTTTCTTTTTTAAAAATTCCTTTTTTTTTATTTTGGTCTCTGACTTTGTGATAATGGAGGTGTTCCCCAAATATCAGATGATCTTCACCAGTCCATTCATATTTAAGAGTGAGTTTGGGAGTGCCATGTAAAGGACATTTGCTGACTAGTAGGCTTTAGTGTAAGGTAAGCAGGCAGTAAATACTAGACTTTAAGGCAGTCGATTTCTCCCCAGAAGGATCCTCCAATTTCATGTCTTGGGGGCATAAGCCGGTGTGCTCTTCTGGGACCCACACAGGGACAGGGGCTGGGCACTCAGGGTTCAGTACAAAAACTTTCACTTGAACACTATCCAGCTCCCCACCTTCATCTCACCTGTGCCTGCTGCTAAGTCCAGAATCTCTCTGGTTCTGTTTCTCCAGAGAATAAACCTCCCATCTCTGGCCAAGGACAAACAAGGAAAGTTACTAGTGCATTGGATGGATAGAGGAGAGAATGAAGGATGTAAGTGCTACTCATACAGAATTGCATCGATTCTGTTTTCATCTCTTTACTTGTCCCCTACCTTCCCAGGTACTTACTGCCTCCAACTCTTGTGTCTCTAGCGCCTACCATTCTCTCCTGCTGATGCTAAGCTTTCACCACTGGCTAGCTGCTTCTCATATTCTAAAAATACATTGCTGTCTCTTGTTCATTATTGGTTTCCCTCCCCAACTCTCCTTTTCCTTGTGGGTTTAGGCCCTTTTATTACCTCTCCTATTGCTTTTTTAAAAGTTTATCTATTTATTTTGAGAGAGAGACAAAGAGTGAGAGAGAGAGAGAGAGACCGAGAATGTCCCAAGCAGGCTCCTCGCAATCAGCACAGAGCCCAGTGTGGGGCCCAATCCCACAAACCGTGAGATCAGGACCTGAGCTGAAATAAGAGTTGGACGCTCAACCAACTGAGCAACCCAGGTGCCCCTCCTTTACTGTTGTTTTCATGGAATTTTAAAAAGGGGCATGGACAAATGCATACAGTCAATTTATCATGTTTCACATAACCGAATGTTCTTTATGTCTGCAGACCGATACATTGGATAGGTCTTCTATATATTCATAGTAATTCCATAATATTTTGCAGTTTCGAAAATATTTAAACTTCTGTTTCTATTTATGTTTTACCTTACCCTCTTAACTTCAAATTTAATTGCTTTATAATAAAAATACATTAGCATAAGCTTATATGTACGTAAGCTATAAACAAATAGACATGTGGGGAAGGCATGCTCAGAGATGTTATATCAGTAGAGGTGGTCAGATATTCCAGGAAAAATCGAGAAAAGGCTGGATTTCATTTCTGGATCAGTGTAACATACAGAAGGGAAGAGTTACAAGAGGTGAGATATGAGTACCAACTGAGTTACATAAAAAGGGAAATAAAAATAGAACTTAAACTTATTAAATTATAAGTGTGGCATTTTGATAGCTCAGGGCTAAAGCAGGGACAAGAGCTAACAGAGACCAGGTCTGACATGTCAGTTCCACCTACCTCACCTTTACATCGTTAAACCCTATCTAATCCCCCTGTGGGAAATCAACTTTTGACAGGCAGAGAAACCAAGGTTCAGAGAGGTTAAGTAATTTTTCCAAGGCCACACAATAGTAAGTGGCACAGTAGGGATTCGAACCTAGGTCTTTCTAATTCCAGGGCCTACCTATGTTCCACCTAGGTAACATTGGCCGCAATTTCCCTCCCAGACATGAGTCATATTAATAGTTACAGTCAACTACATTGCTTAAACAAAATACCTGATTTCAGAGTAAATGTCCTTGATGTTGAGTTTACAATCACATCAGCCTTTTCTTTGGTAATATCTCCAGTAGCAATCTCAAAAGTAACTACACCAATTTTCATTTCATATGCTGTGAACTCAGAGTTCGAGGTAGTCTTGAAGATTCCTGAAAGAACACAAGCAAACGGAAGAGTGGCGGAGAAAGAACAAAGAGAATGGGGCCTTATTCTCTTCCCGGTCCTGTTTCTCCCAAACAGTACCATGCCTCCCAGCCTGTTAAGCTGCTGGGTTTTCTTTTTTAAGAAAATTAGAAAATAATGCTTTGTGGCAGTAGGAGTATCATTTTCTGAGTTAAATAAGATGAGGCAGAAACATCTGATTGGACCGTCTGCCAGTCTGCAAAAGTTGCTGTAGCATCATAAGAAAGGCAGGAGGAAGGATAGAGGGCAAAATGCTCTCTCATATCATCTCAACACCTCTTGGAGACTTTTCAGCTTTTTTGAAGTACGATTAACAAATAAAAATTTTAAGTATTTACTTAAATATACACATTGTGTACAATGTGACATTTTGACATTCACATATGTTGGGAGATGATTATCCAACTGAGCTGGTAACATACCCATCGCCTCACATTTCATGTGTGGGGGTGAGTGTGTGCACATGCACTCAGGAGTGGTGAGAACACCTGAGATCTACCCTCTTAGTAAACTTCAAAAATATGAAACATTCAGGCACCGGGGTGGGTCAGTCAGTTAAGCGGCCAACTCGGTTTCAGCTAAGGCCATGGTCTCATGATCTCATGAGTTCAAGCCCCACGTCAAGCTCCATGCTGTCAGTGTAGAGCCTGCTTGGGATTCTCTCTCTCTCTGTCTGCCCCTCCTTTGCTTGCTCACTCTGTCTCTCAAAACAAATAAATAAACTTAAAAATTAAAAAAAGAATACAAAATATTGTTATTAGCTATAGTCCTATGCTGCACATTTGGTCTCTAGAATTTATTCAGCTTATGACTGAAAGTGTGTACCTCCAGGTGATTCTTTTATTACTGTTTTACAGAAACGGAGCAGAATGTGCAGAAGAACATTTTGTTCAGTGTTCAAGGTCAGGAGCTGTGTGTGGAAGGGGTGGTCAACCCTGAATGTCTCTTTTATAATGAAGAGTGTCCAAGTATTAGGACGAAGGGCCACTAATAGTTGCTAGGTAAGTTGCTGTGATATGAAAACTAGCTGCATGTAGATCCCAATTGCCGCTCTTTGACTCTCTGTATGTAAGTTTCCCCAGTAAACCTATGTCTCAGTTGGTGTCTCTGGGTCTTTTATTTTGGCCTCACTGGACCAACACTCACCCTAGGCTTAGAGTTTGCGGGGGTGCAGCAGTACAAGATCCATATGATTTATTCTTTGTGTGCTCAGAAAATGGTACATGCTCTAACACTCCCTCCATCACTGATTTGTTCCTCATGTGAATTAGCTTTGTCTCCTTCTATAGGCCTTCAGCTACCACTGAAGAGCTACTAAGCAGAGGGAAATAATTTCCTTAGCAGAACAACTTTGCCAGACCTTGGCCACTTCCAGACATGAGAATCTTGTCCTTGTTGGGATTTCCTCTCAACCTTTTATTGAATTCATCTAAAAATGCCTGGAAATAGAAATATAGTTACCAACGACAACAATATTCTGTAAAAATACTAATCCAATTCTTTAGAGCACTGATCACCAGACATCAATTAGGAACAAAAGTTCTCCCTAGATTTCCACTTACCCAGAGAATAATTAAAGGATTGCAGTTCAACCTAGGACTTTTGTCAGTAAATATCAGTGCTGATTTACTTTATTTCATTGGAAGCCCACAATTCTATCTCAGATACCTGAGAATAACTAAGAACTTAGAAAAGAACATTATATTTGATATCTTCTTAAAGTACCCATGTTAGTAGTTTGTAGCAATAGCCCTTAAAGTCAGGTAATGAAAAGGTAACATTAACTGCTTCTGCAGCCAGTTTTGAGCCTTGTTTATATGCTAGACACAATGCAGAACATTTCAAAAACATCCTCTCTTAATTCCCACATCAACTTGAAGAGGTATTATTCACTCTGCACACGATAAAACGAGATTCAGAGAGGTTGCCTCACTCAAACTTTAAATGAATTGAAAGGCAAACCTAGCGGCACCTTTCTTCTTTGTACTTTCATATTGTTTGCACTTTTACTATAACTATGTACAATTTACGTAAAACCAATATAACTTTTTCAAGAGTGAAAAACAGATTTTGGTACTCAGAGTGGGCCAATGGGCTAAGGGGTGCATCTCAAGGAATGCCACCTTACAAAGGCAGGTGTCAGGGGTTAAGTACTTACTAAATGTGCTTTGATTGCTTCCCTACTACTGTATACTGCACTGCTGTTTCTAGCTTAAGACCCTCATAGACTTAGATAGACTGGCTGTATTCTAGCCAAAACAAAAAACACACAACATTCAGTCAGTGCTAAAATGTCTGGGCCACTCTTATGCCAATAACTTTCTGCTTCTTCCTAAGAATTTATTAAGTACAAATTATCTTGTCTCTTGCTAAACTATCTGCGAAGGATTATATGAGTTCTCAGTGTTATATCATAAGTCTTATGACAACTCCCTATCAGTAACCAACACTTATGGATAGGAAAGTGAAAACATTATTGTTTGCAGGTCTACAAAGACATTTGATTGCACTTAGTTTCACTTGCCAGAATGACCAGAAGAGATACTTAACCATACCTTATGGATTTCGTCATCATCTGGAAGTATCAGAAAGTGAACTTCTTGTAAGATTTTCAGCCATGTGCCACTACTGAATTTGAACACTTCTGAAAGGATTAGTTCAACAAAAACAGCTTTGGGAAATTTCAAATTTCCTGTTCCAATCATGGGAAATGTTATTGATGAAAAAGATAACTCTTCCATAGCTGTCAAACATTTTTTGATTATATTTGCCATTATCTGAAATGTACAAAATGCATTTATATAAGTTAGGGCTTAATCTGGTGAGAAATAGGGGCACCTGGGTGGCTCAGTTGGTTAAGCGTCTGACTTCGGCTCAGGTCATGATCTCACAGTCTGTGGGTTCAAGCCCCATGTCGGGTTCTGTGCTGACAGCTAGCTCAGAGCCTGGAGCCTGTCTTCAGATCCTGTGACTCTTCTCTTTCTGACTCTCCCCTGCTCATTCTGTCTCTATCTCTCTCTCAAAAATAAATAAAACATTAAAAAAAATTTTAAAAAATCTGGTGAGAAATAGAGAGAGAGCTACAGCTCCAGAAACTCTGACTAGGCCTTCTCTGCTATGCTTGGCTTTGTCCAGGTCTAGGGTGTCAGAAAGGAAAACTGAGAGGGAAGAGGACATTCCAGAGAGATTCTAATTTATGCAGGAAGAAGGTTCCAATAGTATAGGAATGGTCACATAAACAATGGTGTCTTGTTGCAATTAAAAGTGATGTTTATGAAGAGTTTCTACCAACATGGGGAATGTTTATGTTAAGAAAAAAAAGGCAAGACTTAAAAAATGTTTGGAAGGGAATCTCAACTAAGAAATATGTATGCATAAAATTGAAGGGATTGCATAAAATGTTAACAAAAGTTAACTCTAGATGGCTGGATTATAATTTTTATTTTTATTTTTGTCTTTGTACTTCCTGTATTTTCTCCAATGTATATGTATCACTTTCATATTCTAAAAAAAAGAAAGTGGGAGTTAAACTGGGAATAGAGGTGAGAAGTCATCAAAAGAAAGGCAATGACTCTTCATCCTTTACCACAGCTCTGGCCGCATCTCTTTGTTATACTGAAGGATTATTACACTAATTTTCAGATAATATTCCCAGAGAACCCCAAGGAGTGTTACTACTTTCAAGATCAATTATACTGTAATAATTGGTAGCTATTTGAAGAGCCAAAAATTAAGTCCTCCATTAAGAGAAACTTCGGGCTGCACTTAGCCCCAATCCCTGTTCCAGGAAAAGCCTCAGACTGTTGAAGGCTAAAGCCATCCTCTGACCGCCCTCAGTTTAGCTAATCAAAAAATATTCCTATGGTCTGAGTCAAGGCTGGGAACTGCAGATACAAACTAGCCAATTTCTCATCACTTGCCTGAACCCCACGTGGGCCCTTTGAACTCACCTCATAATTGGTCATTTTCAAAGGATTCTCAAAAGTCATGATTGGGTCCCACCAAAAGTAATGAACACCTCACAGATACTGAATGGTCAAAGCTGTAATTGTAATTGCTGCTTATGTGATGATGCTACATGTACTGCAACACCCCATCCCTTACTCCTTAAAAACCCTGTTCGCTATTGTTCTTCACTTCCCCTTGCTGCAATGACACCGGCAGGCTGGTGAGCCCCTGCTCGAGCTTGTAATAAAGATCCTTTTGTATTTGCATCGGTGCCGGCTCCTTGGAGGTCTCTGGGACTCGCGATTCGGGCATAACACTATGATGGACTGTTCATGGCATGTAAGAAAGATTTCAGTAAATAGACAAAGTTCAGCCAATTCTAAAGTTTCTCAACCTGGGCCGGAAAAGTCTGTGTGATGGAGGCTTATGTATGCTTTGTAGGAGGCTTAGCAGCATCCCTGGCCTCCACTTCCTAGCTGTCAGGAACCAGTGTAACAAGCCAAATGTCCCCTGGGGAATAAATTCACTTTGCTTGAGAACCACAGATCTATACCCTGCCAGAAGATTACCAGAGCTATCAATGAAGCAGAGAGCTAAGGATTTTCTCTACCTGCTGAGAAGACCCTGCTCCATTTTTCCAGTATGGTGCCACAGTATGGAGCACAGCTTTGCAGTCCAGGTTGCAGCCACTTGTCAAAAATATGCTACCTTCTTCCTCTTCTGTTCCTTTCCTGGTGGCATTTAACTCTTCCTGGAGCTGTGGACCAGCTTTCTTCAAAAGAGCCTGAGACAGTGATCCTCCTCCAAGCTGAAGATTCTTGGGAACAGTGTTGACAATGACATCAGCCTTAAGGAAAACAGCAACAGTTTGTTAGAGTTCGAATCAACAGTTTTTAAGCACCTATGACTTGCCAAGTATTATGAGGTAATGCACAAGATATGTTTTGTCTGTCATAGTGGCCTCTCAGGCCTACCTTCAAGGGGCTTACAATCTGTTGTTACTACTTAGATACGGTAATGAAGTGAGCCCCAAAACATACAAATTAAGGAGATCTATCACCCACTACTGTTAACATATGAGTCAGAGTAGGGCTATGAAGATGAGCAAACAGAAAGGAGAATCAGAATGAAAGGTAGTAGCAGAAACAGAAAGATAACTAGACAGATGGAAACAAAAATAGAACTCCAAGAGAAACCAGTGAGGAAGAAAGAGTTGCTTTTAGGTTCACAGGAACTGAGAGTAATTGTTCTGTCTTTATTAACATCTTAAAGAAAGAATGGGTCCATCTGAAGATCAGGGGCAGGGAGGGGGTGCAGATTCTGATAAGCCCTGAAGGCCTAAACAAAGGAAGGTCATCGAAGTGAAAGTAGGCAGTGTCCACTCAAGCCTGTCCAGGGTTGTGGGGCTCTCCAATGCTTGCTGAGTCCATCCCTTTGGTGAGATGGGGTCATGACCCGATGCCGACAGATATTAAATATTCAGTTCATCCAATTCCATTTATTCTGATGTTGTATTCAAATGTGGAGGGCAGAATGCTTTGCTCATGTGGATTTTGAGTATTCTGGTTCCTTGGGAGCTCTTCCTTACTGTAAATTAAAAGGTGTCTATGTCTTTGGGCCACATAACAGTTATATTTCTCACTGTAATAGGTCCACCTCAGTCTTACATGAGGTTAGTTAACAGAAACTAAGCTCAGGACCTGAGAAGCTGCCTTCAAGGAAAAAAGTCAGTGAGCCTTCCATGGGGCAGTTGGTTAAACGTCTGACTCTTGATTTCAGCTCAGGTCATGGTCTCTCAGTTCACGGGATGGAGCCCAGCATTGGGCTCTGCGCTGACAGCACAGATCCTGCTTGGGTTTCTCTCTTTCTATCGCTCTCTCTCTGCCTTTCTCTCTCACTCTAAATAAATAAATAAAAATAAGTCAGTGAGCTTTCCAAAAAACCAAGATCCAGCCCATTTTCACCCCACTCCCTGCTTATTGAATCCTATACAGTTTGGGGAGCTATATATTTACATGTAAAACAGCAAAATAGCCTTAATATTTATATCAGTTCAAGATAATCAAAAGAAACTATGTTAAAAATACAATTAGTAATTGCTATAGAATTTTTTAAAAAGCAGAAATCCTTCAGACTGGACTAGTAAAGTCTTTACAAAGAGGATAAGGGATGAATCTGGGACAGGGGAAAAGAAGGCAGTAAGCCTTGGAGGTGGGTGAATATTTTAGAAAACACATAGAATTGAGAAATGTCAGAAAGCAGTCCAATTTATCGAATGGAGAGTGTCAATGGTGAGAGACAGGGCTGGAAAGAGATTTGGGGCCAGGTGGTGGAAGACTCTATAAGCTCACACTTTTTGGGCTTTATGCAGCAGGCAGTAGGGAGCACCTGATAAATATATCACACAGCTATGGAAAGGACAGACAGAGGGTGAGAGGGGTAACTGGGGGTGATGAGAAGTGAGTTGACTGTGTGAATGAAAAGGAAAGGGCATGTACACGGGACAGTGTGCAAGGAAGCTGGGAAACCATTTGGTAGGGAAAGGAACTCAAAGAAGAAAAATTTAGAGGACTCCAAAGTTTATATGGCACCATGCAACCATGAGAATAGGTATCCTGACAGGGTTGATGAGAGTTTAACACTGAACAGACTATGTCATGAAAAGACTTCAGTTTCCTCATCTTATAGATGTATATGTAATATCTATCTCAGTTAGATTGTAGCACTAATTGGGTGAGGTAAACTTTCAAGTGGTCTGTCCTAAGTGGATAATGATGATAGCTATCATTTTTTGAGTCTTCACTATGTGCCAAGAAGGTGCTTTATGTGGATTATTGGATTATTGTATTTTACCCACCTCACATGAACCCTAATATCGTCATCATCCATCATCATAGATAAGGACACTGAGACATAAGGGGGAATGTTGACAGAGATCAATGGCTGGTCAGTGGTAGAGTGGGATTTGAACCCTGCCAGGACCAGCTTTGAAGATGGTCTGCATAACCACTACACTATGCCTTCCTCTAGGGTAAAAAAGAAACTTCCTATACTTGTATGTGAGCCAGTTCTTTTCTGGTCTGGGTATGCTCACCAAGCAATCCCATAATAGGCAGCTACAGAGCTATTACCCACAGCCATGGCAATTAGATTCCTCATTGCAAATTAAATAATTACAACTCCAGTTTTATAAATAAGTCTCCTGAGCTTGATTAGTGCCACCTTTCTGGATAAAATTATAAGGCTCAACTTTTCAACTTGAAGCTCTGACAAAAAGGTCCTAAAACCATGTGACAAAGGAGTTTAAGGACTGTAGCTACTCTAGAGAACATGAAGAAACTGGCTGGCTGCCTCCCTGCTGCTATCTCGTTAGCTGCAGCAACAGCAAAGAATATTTGCAGTGGCTTATGATCCAAGAGTCTCCAAATTTCTCAGAATTCTCTTTCCATTAATCTTGAGTGTATGCCATCTGGTAAATATCAAGTGCCAAAATGGTATAAGGATTCTGAAGAAGAATCCAAATCAGTAAATCTCTGCATATTAGAACCACCTGGAATTCTTTTAAAAACTACTGACTCCTCCCCCTCAGCCCCGCCAGACCACATAACCGACCAATTAAAATCAGAGTCTCTAGGGGTAGGTCCTCGGCATTTAAACTTTTAAAAAGCTTCCCAGATGATTTTTATGTGTAGTCAGCATTGAGTATCATGGATGTCAACTGCAGATGGGATATAGCACCTGTAATTCCTGCTAATTGGTGATTCTCAGGGGGAAAAGCAAGAGGAGGGGAGGCAGCAAAAGCCAGGCTAAGCATTTAGTACCTGTACTGGTAATCTTTCTCCTTTCTTGTTCTGCCTGTGTCTCAGAAAGTGCTCAGAGAGGAGCAACAGGGTATTTGTGAAGGATAATATTATAATAGGATGTGATACGCCCTCCCCATAAATGCTGATTGGAACAGGAGAGAAAAACAGAACTGGGTTGAAAGTAGGTCAAGATAAGTTATAGAAAAATGAAAGAGGTGGATAATCACATCCCAGTTTGTGGTCAACTTGGGTCTCTTCACATGAGAACATATGAAATACAGGGGATGGTAAGTAGAGCCCTGCTTGAACCTCAGGTGAGTTTAACTGCCCAAATTTATATGGTTTTCATCTTTGACCTTAAATCACAGAAGCAATTAATCAGACCCCATTGTTTCTTGATGGATTTACTAGATAGCACCACTTACCGGGCACCAAGTAACATCTCCACTTATCAACAAAAGCTTTAGACCTTCTTCGGTTTGGGTTGAGGCTACCACATTTCTGGAGGAAAGATGATTTTTCCAGCTGGCTTGGTTTCTTGACTGTGGAGAAAAGCAGTAAAAATAATTACCAGGCAATGCTATCAGGAGACTTTTCTCGTAGATGTCCAAACAGAAACTATTAGATTCCCCACTTCTCTAACTCAATTCATAACCCAACCCTAAGATTGAAAAGCAAATAATGTATTACCACAATTTTTGAGTACCGACTGTATTTAACACTCCAAATGCCAGTTAGCTCTTTTAATTATTCCCCCAAGAATTCTAGCTTAGCGGACCCTGCTCATATTTCCTTGACTCTTACTGTTTAAGGGCCCTTGGGTCTTATTTCCAGCTCTATTTCTGTTTTTATCTTTAATGTTTTTTTTTTTAATTTATTTTTGAGAGAGACAGAGCGAGTAGAAGAGGGGCAGAGAGAGAGAGAGGGAGACACAGAATCTTAAGCAGGCTCCAGGCTCTGAGCTGTCAGAGAGCCCAATGTGGAGCTCGAACTCATTAACCATGAGACCATGACCTGAGCCTGAGTCAGACGCTCAACTGACTGAGCCACCCAGGCACCCCTCTAGCTGTATTCCTTGTCCGAGGACTTTCTGTAGTGCCAAAGCCTGCTTTGCTTGCAGATGTAGCAGAGAGGAATCACAGGGAAATTAAGCAGCCCTCCCCGCACCAGCCCCCACCAAGCCCTCATCCAATGATTGACAGGAATTCCTGTAAAACCACCCCAGCAACCTTGCCTTCCAGCTAGGCCTCAGTCTGAGTTTCCCGAGTGTGATTAAGTGATAACAGATTTAATAACACACTTTATCAGTATCTTTTACCTTTCTATTTAGATCATTTGCACTTGAATCCTGTCTCAGATTCTCTTCTGAAGGAACTCAAACTAAGACACACCCCTTAGATCTCCACAACAACACATTTGTAGCTTGACTATTAATCAGTCATAGAATTTTAGAAGTTAAAGGCTCATCACAGATCATCCAGTACAGAAACTTCATGGGAGGGAGGGAGGAACCAGTGTACAAAGAGATGAAACCACTTACTCAAAGTCAAATTATTAGCTGATAAAGGACACAATCCTTGAATCTGCTCTTCACAGAATCTACAAGAGGAGCTTATCTACCTGACAGTATTGTCACACTTATGTAAAAACACGGGACATATCACCACACTTGTCACATTGTCACACACATGTAAAAACATGAGACATATCACCACCCCATCCCATATACCTTGTCATCCACATTTGTCATAGACATGAATTGCTATCAACACTCTTTTTCAATCAATCCAGATAGAGTTTCAGGATTTTGCTCAACACAGAATTCCAGGCAACAACTGTCATTTGATCAGAGGTAACCCATGAAATGAAATGTATTTTCCATGCCTGATCTAACTCAAAAAGGATATGACTTTTTTTGCTTAAAATAATCTTCAAGAATTTTCCACACTCTACTTTCTATAACAAATAGAAAACTCCAGAAGGACTGGAAATGGGCTTCTTGAACATCCTCTTCACTTGCTCAACAATTTCATTTTTTATGCTTTCCTGCATGTGCTATGGTATGTTTGGTGCAAGCATTATCAATGACCTCCCACCCTGGTGAGCGGTGGGATAAATGGGTATTAAGGAGGGGCCTTGTTGTGATGAGCACTAGATGTTATATGTAAGTGATGAAACACTAAATTCTACTCCTGAAACGAACATTAGACTCTGTTAACTAACTAGAATTTAAATAAAAACTTGAAACAAACAAACAAAAAAATGACCTCCCACCCTGAGAATTCCTTGGGTATAGACTCTTTCCAAGCACTGGTATGAAGACTAGAAAACCTTCTAGAAGAACCAGTCACATTCTCTATCAAATGTTGTTTTTTCCTTTTCAGTGTTACGATTCGTGTCGTGTTAAATTCTTTTCATATCCTCCAAACAACCTGTTATTATGACCACCCCCTTGACTATATCAGACTCAATAGAAATCTTATCATCCTGTATGCTGTTTTTTATGTCTTCCCATACTGCTGGCTTCATATTCAATTTGGTGATTTGATATTTAGAGATGATATGGCAGAAGTTTTTAGAAATGTCCTCATTCCAGGTCTTGATGACGTTGATCTCTGTTCTTCCTTGAGTGAGTTCAGTGGCCGCAGACCTGAATGTTACCTCTAGCCTCTTACAGTTGACTTGGTGCCATGTTACCTCAAAGTGAGGCCTTCCCCTTTTGTAATTTATCATTCCAATCAGGTGATGCTTCTTCTGCAAGATCCTCCATATGAGAGGATGCAGAGCCACCCAAAATAGTGCTGGCAACTTTCTCAAGGGCTTCTACTTTCCATGCAAGGCTATACCCAAGGTCATATAATGTGGAAACACAGTAATGGGCCTTTCATTAAAGACAAGCTTTTCGGCCATGTAGGTGTCCACCACTAAAAAAATAAATAAATAAATAAAAGGTAGATATTCAGACAAAATCTTTGGCACAAAAAGAAATCCTGATACTAATGAGACTGAAATATAGTATATCTACCTAAAATAGTACCACTGTCAGACAGCTCAATGGAAGGTGTGACATTCATTAATACAATGGACCTAATTCTTCCTGAATGTGATAGATCTATTCCATTCATGTTTACTTTGCAGTGAAGATCTGTACAATTAATCTGATATTTCCATTGACATTCGTTATAATATTGGGGAGGTGATATTTTTTTCTGAAAACAAGAAACTTAGCTCTTAAAGATTCAATAAATACAAACAATAATGCATGAGCAATTAAAAATGAACTGTTAGAAGTAAAGCCAATACAAGTTTTATTTTTTATTTTCTTACTTAAAAAAATTGTTTTAGGGGCGCCTGGGTGGCTTAGTCGGTTAAGCGTCCGACTTTCGCTTGGGTCATGATCTCGCGGTTCGTGGGTTCGAGCCCCNTAAAAAAATTGTTTTAGGGGCGCCTGGGTGGCTTAGTCGGTTAAGCGTCCGACTTTCGCTTGGGTCATGATCTCGCGGTTCGTGGGTTCGAGCCCCGCGTCGGGCTCTGTGCTGACTGCCAGTTCGGAGCCTGGAGCCTGTTTCAGTCTGTGACTCCCTCTCTCTCTGACCCTCCCCTGCTCATGCTGTCTCTCTCTCTCTCCTAGAAAAAAAAAATTGTTTTAATGTTTATTTTTTTCTGAGAGAGAAACAGAGAGACAGAGTGCAAAAGGGGGGCACAGAGAGAGAGAGGGAGACACAGAATCTGAAGCAGGCTCCAGGCTCTGAGATGTCAGCAGAGCCAGATGCCGGGCTTGAGCCCACAAACCATGAGATCATGACCTGAGGTAAAGTCAGATGCTTAACCAACTGAGCCACCCAGGCACCACAAGCCAATACCATTTTTAAAGGAATAGTTATAATAGTCAAAAATATTAAAAACAATTGCATACTGTAATAAAAATTTTCATAAAATTGATCAGATTCCCTAGAAGCAGGGCCTGAGATGAGGATTCATTACAAGTGAATTATTAATGTAGTACCCTCAGGAAAAACATGTAGAAAGTGAGAGACAAAGACAGAGAATGTGGTTCAGGTTCAGCCTGGCTCCTGCCTAATCCTGCAAGGAGCTCTGGAGTATATAAATTGCATCATGGTGCTATCCTAACCTTGAGACTGGGAGCTGGGTGTTTTGAATCTTATACCAGTCACTTATTGCCTACAGGTCATCCTGGTTGGGTGATTAATATAAACTCCCAGGAACCTCCAGTCTCTAGACCTTTAGCCTCCTGAAGGCAATCCTTCTGGAGAAGGTTGTGAGTCCTCTACAGCAATACATATAGCAGTTGGGTAAAAGGGACCCCAAGACATTTTGAGAAGCATGAAAGGAAAGGCAGGGCACTAAGGAAAGTCCAAAGAGTAACTGCACAAGTTGGGGAAAAGATTATGTGGCTTAGGAGCTACTATAAAAACATCTAAGGGATTTCTTAATACTCTTTCTTAATATGATAATTACAGTAACTTTATTTATTGAATACTGTTTTGTGTCAGGCAGTGTACAAATATTATACTACTTAATTTAATTTTCACAATGACCCTGTGAGATAGGTTTTATATCCCACTTTTTTCTTTTTCTTTTTTTTCTTTTTTTAATGTTTATTTATTTTTGAAGGAGAGAGAGAGAGAGAGAGAGAGAGAGGCATAGAATGAGCGGGGGAGGGGCAAGAGAGAGGGAGTCACAGAATCCGAAGCAGGCCATAGGCTCTGAGCTGTCAGCACAGAGACCAATGTGGGGCTTGAACGCACAAGCCTTGAGATCATGACCTGAGCCAACGACAGATGTTTAACTGACCGAGCCACCCAGGGGCCCCTATATCCACTTTTTAAATGACAAAACAGAGAATAAGAAAGTAACATGGCCATCGCTATCCAGCTAGTAAATTCTAGAAATTAGGTATATATCCTTGAGATTCTGAAGGCCGGTGGTGCTCTATTTCTGTATAGAAGGCTTAGCAGTGACAATCTGGCTAGACGTAGGGGGTGGTACATGGAACTTGTCTTGAAGCAGTATTTCCTTGAGTTGTGTAAGTAAGATGGCACCAATGATCCCTAGTAATTGTGCCTTTCTATAATTCCCTTCCATCTTGTATCAGAGTTGGTCTCTGTGGCCAACAGAATATGACACAGTGATGCTGTGTCACTTCTGAGGCGAGATTACAGAAGGCACTATGTCCCCCGCCCCTGCTACCCTCTCTCTCTCAGATAACTCAGCTGGGGGTAGCCAGCTGCCATGTCATGAACAACCCTATGGAGAAGCCCCCACAGCAAGGAACTGAGGCCTCTGGCAGCAGTTATGTGAGTGAGCCTAGAAGAAACTCTCCAGTCTCCATCAAGTCTTCAGAATACTACAGCCCCAAAGAACCAGGTGATAGCAACCTCATGAGATTCTCGTCCAGAATCACCCAGTTAAGTTTCTCCCAAATTCCTGGCCCTCAGAAAATATGAGATAATAAATGTTTGCTCTGTAAAGCCACTAAATTTGGTATGGGGCAATAGAAAACGAGCACAGATTGTATGCT